AATTGTCTTTGAAAAGTCCTTATGAGTTTTGTCAGGTATGTGACCACATAATAAAGACTTATTGATTCACTGAATAGCACATGGTGGCAACCGGCTTGGCAGCTGCTTTTTAGAAGGAACCCTACTGGGACAAATTGGCTTTAGTTGCTTAGTTATTAAAATTTGCATTTGGTTTTTAAATATAATCTGCTGATGTTTTCATTGCTGTTCTTTTTATATCGTAGCTTATTGTATTCATTCAGAACCAAATCCTGATCATTTGGTTAAGAAATACCCTGAGCATGCACAGATGCAGGTCCCTTGGCTCCACAGCAGAACACCCGCTTTGCATTCAGAAGGTCCCAGTTACAACCTCTGGCATCTCAGGGCCGGTTGGAAAAGCTCCTGCAGAGAATCGGGAGCATCCGGCTCTGTGTCCGTCCCACAGGGACAGAGGAGGGGTGGCCCGACTCAGCCTCAAGCCTCCCCTGGCCTTGTGAACATGCAGGAATGCAGCCAGTGGCAGTTGTCTCATATCCACAAGGCCCTGAAGTCCTCCAAGAGGGCTTAGTAGCCCCTTCGTTTGAGAGGAAGCCACCCAAAATGTTCTGCATTACAAAAGAGAACCAGAGGTCATTGCTGGGATGATGCATTTGCCCTGAGCTGCTGCGAGGCTTGCAAAGTGAACTCAGAGGGGGAAAGAGGACAGCCTGGAGGGTGGGAGGCAGGCGGTACGGGCATTCCTGCCAATCGGGGTGCGCCCCCCCCCCCCCACAGTCCCTGCTGCTGAGAACTGTCCAGAGAGCTTTGGCCGCTGGGCAGTATAGAAATTACATAAATACATAGATAAAATAAATACTTCTGCTATACAACTGCTTATACAGTTTTGTTAGCTCTCTTTGTTAGCCTTCAAGGTTGTTCCTTTTTCTCTTACAGAAAGGAATTCCACGGGGTGGGGACCACCACTGACAAGGCCCCGGGCAACTCAGAGTCAGAGAAAGTATACCGCAAAAGATTTGGGAATAGTGTTGATGGCAGTACAGGGGTGGAGCGAGCTGGCTCTGGAAGGAGTCGAGGCTAGACATTCCCCAGCATCCCAAGAGCATCCCTGCTGCCTTTGCCATCTTTGCTGCTTTGCAGAGAGTATCTAAGAACATCAGATACCACCTAAGAAAACTCTCAGTTTGCATGTTTTCTCTCTTCCAGATGAGGGACTGGGGCACAGGGACTACAGGGTCCTTGGCCCCCCAAACTCTTGGAGACTGCCCTGGGAGGAGACTATTTATTCAGAACTAGTGATAAGATCTATATTTACAGATAAAAAATTAGCACAGAGGTACTCAAAGCAGCAAATCTAAAAAACCAAACAGCAGCTGAGAAGACAAAACCATTTGCTTAAAAGGTATTTACCTTTGTTACTCATGATTCCCAGTGATTTAAAATGAAAACAAACATGGCACTTAAAAAACACCACTGCCAACAAGGAATAACAGCACAGCTAAGAACAAAACCAGACCAGGAAAACTGTAATTCGATTCCGGAAAGCCAGTGGAAAGGAAAGGTTTTCCTTTGCCTGCAGAGGTTCACCAAGGAGGCGGCAGTGCAAACTTCTCTGGCAGGTGAACTCCCAGAGGAATGCCATGTTTGATGTTGCCAGCAAGAAAACAAACACACCCTGTGGCGGCACCTTAAAGGCGAGGGCTGCAGCACCGTTAGCACGCGAGTGAGTCTGCGGTGTGTTCAGCTCCTGCCAAGAACTGGCCCTCGGGTAGCCCAGCCGGTTAGCCCAGGGAGTTTATTGGGAGGCCTGGTTTGCAGAAATAGATACATCTTCCTGTGGGAGGGAGAGAGACACCACCCCAAAACTGGCCACTGAGGAAGGCGCTAGGGAAATGGAACATGGGGCGGGGCATGGAATGGAATGGAATAGCCTGAATATGGGCATAGCTGGCTGGCTGGCTGGCAGGCTGGCTGAAATCCTGAGCAGGAGCTGTCCACACTTTATTTCAGGCATATCCTACTTGTTTAACCATGTCATTTTCTGCCCTTCAGCCCAGTTTAATTTTAACAAAAGCACGCAAACCTAAAGACCAACAACAACAACAACAACAACCAGAGCATAACTCACAATTACTTGATTCAGGCAACATGACAACTCACTCTCAGTAGCTGAGTACAGGTTGAGTGTGGGTTTTCCTTGAACCATGGACTGTTGTGCTGTCTGAACCCAGCTGTGCAAACAAACCATGGCTTGTTAACCATAAGCAACTCTGCAAGAGAACCCTAGGCTTGTTGCTGGGTTGCAAACTGTGGGTTGTTTATGGTTAACAACCTGCAGTTAGCTTGTGCAGCTGGGTTCAAACACCACCATAACCCATGTTTCAACAGTAAATCACAGTTCAGTGGCAACCCATGCTCAGCCTTTGAGTTGGGTAACCATGTACAAATAGTCACATGTAAGCCTAGACTTTAGTTAAGCCAGAGGAGGTAACACGTGCATTTTATCGCTGTGCCAAAAGTTCTTCTACCACCTTTTTTGGACCATTCTCATCCAACTTTTGGAATTGCTTTTGAAAATTGGGAGAAATGCTTGTGGCTTGGTCCCTGTTTTCTTGTGGCTGTCCTCCTTACGAGGTGGCCAGGAAGGTGTGTGGATGCCCAGTCTTTCACTGTACAATCATTTCTCCAGCACCCTGCAGCCTCCAAGGCTTCCCACTCTTCAACCAAAGCCCTGGGAAGATTCCTTTTCAGGTCAGAAATTCAGGCAGGCTGCAGACAACTGGAGAGATATGTATTAGATGAGGGGAATAAGATACACAGTATCCTTTATCATCTCACAGGAATTAGGTAAACTAAAAAAAACTGCTCAGAGAAATTCTAAATAAATTCTAAAAATCCCCTGAGAATGAGGCAATAAAATGGAAGCCTTTTTCACAGGGAAAGGAAACCTTCAGGAAATTGGAGCACAGAGTTTGGTCCAGGACTAGAGTCACCCCTTCTCTGGGGCTCAGGTTAGGGTTAGGGCTAGACATGGCGCTGCCCCCTTCTGTCATATTTGCATCATGGAAGGGCCAACCTGCCAACACTCCCCCCGCCCCCCGATGCTGTTGCCATATTAGTAGACAGCATAAAAACACCAAAGACCCTTGGGGAAAGGGAGGAGGAGGAGGATGGACCTACCTCTGAGAAACTGGAGAATTTCCCCTGGAGAATTCCAGTGAAATTGTCCCCACATTTCTCTGCTTACAAGCAGGATGGAGAAATTCCACTGGGTCTTGTGCACAACACACACACAATCACTGTCTATCTTAAATCCTCATTATAACCCCGCTCTCTTTCATTAATAACACCCCGAGGGCAGGTGTGGGGGCAGGAAAATAAACAAGAGACCAGAACCATGAACAAGAGAACAGAAGCAGGGGGGAGAGGTGGGGTGCAAGCATAATAAATGGCCGGTGTTGGGGGGACTCAGATCCTTGCAAGGGGGGGAGCAATACGTGCTCCACAAAGTGTCCTGGTGACCCACTGAGAGGGGAATTCCACTCTGCACATGTTCTAAAATATTTTTTCTCTCATTTGCATGCCCCAGCCCTGGCAGAGAGAAAGATTGCCCAAACACTTGCCCAAAACTGGACTGCACAGCGTTCTGTGGCCTCCGTGTGCGATGCAGAGATAACACCGTCCAGCGCTCTGCCACGAGACCGAGCGAACTTCCTCTCACTCACTAGCTAGAAGGACAGAAATGTGAAGACACTTCACCTGCGGCAGGGGGTTGGGCTGGATGCCCTTTAGGGTCCCGATCAACTGGTTGCCCAGTTGGTTACATTGCATTAGAGCTTCATTGCACAAGCGCTTCGGTGGCAAAGATGCTACGGCCCAGTTCAGCTGACACGATAACCCACACTTAAGGGCTGAGTACAGGTCGAACGTGTGGATCCACACTGCACCACTGTGGATCATTGTGCTGTTTGAACCCATGGTTCTAAGAAACCGTGGCTTGTTACCCACGAACCACCCACAGTTTACAACCCATGAGTTCTCTTCATGGGTTGTTCATAGTTAACAAACTTCGTTTGTGCAGCTGGGTTCAGAAGACACAATAACCCCCATTTCAACAACACCTGTGGTCAGCCCATACTCAGGCCTCGAGTTCTCTCGTCATCTGAACCCAGCCCATCAGACAGAGAGACTTGGGACTTCCACTCCTCCACTGCAAGCCAGCCAGTTCCAAGACGATGTGCAGTAGCAACTCGACATTACAGGGAACACACCTCACACCCAATGAAGCCTCCTTTAAAGGTGACACTTCACAGCTGCAGGTTCCCAACATCTTGCAGTGCGAGTGAATGCAGAAAGCTCTTAGTAACGCGTGTGGAGCCGAGAGGGTCTTGTGGCGATGCGAGAGGGACCTACTCATTCTTCCGCCTGGCCAGCCATGCCTGCTTCCAGGAGACTCCCCCAGGGTCCCCGACCATCCGCCCCCAGCAGTGACCCGGCCTTGCAGGGCCACCAGGAGGGCACATTGCTCCTGGGTTGCCCTGGAACCCATTCTGGTCCCTTTTCTGAACTGCTCTTCGTACTTCCGCAAGCCTCAGCCCTCCCGCTAATACGTCCCTCTTTTGCGCAGTAGGTGCTGGTCGCCACTTGGCTCACAAGTTCCAAATGGGTGCACCAGCTTTGGGGCTGCAGCTCTGGAAAGCAAGTGTGCGTCCAAGACTCCCGCACCCCTCCACTTCCAAGCAGCCCGCCAGAAAGTCTGAGCTGCCCGTCTGCAGGCGAGAGAAAATCGCTCCTTTGCAAACTTCCTTCCTCTTCCCCGCAGGCGAACGCCCCCCGCGCCTGTGCGTGAGAACACACTGCGGAGAGAGACGGGGGCATGCACGGGACGGGCCAGCGCGGCTCAAGCGGCTCTTCCGCCGCAGCACCAGCTGCCCTTCAAGACGCAGCGCTGGGCACAGCAGGGGAAAGCAGCGGCGGAGAGGGCGCTGGGCAGAGCGAGGCCGGCCGCGCCTCGTACTTACAGCCGGTCTTGCTGGCGAGCTCCCGAATCTCTTCCGAAACGGACTGGGAAGAGCCCATCGCTGGGCAAGCGCGGGCGCCGCTTTGGAGAGGCAGCCCGCTCCGGCGCGGGGCCCAGGCGGCGGGGGCGCGGGGGGCGGGCGGGTCCGTGCGGCTGGACCGGCGGCCGCGCGGCTACTGCGGGTGCCGGCCGGGCAGCGCCATCGCCAGACTTGCGCGCAGCGGCGGAGTTTAAATCTCGAGGAAGCAGGAGCCGCTGCTCCGGGCGGAGGCGCAGGGCGGAGGCAGGCTCCCGCAGGGTCCCAGAGCTCGCCGCGCCGGGGAAGCCGCATTGATTTCCGAACCTCGTCAAGGCGAGCGAACAACTTGGGAGCATCATCTTTCCGTTTGTTGCGCGAGGGAAACTCCTGCGGGCGCGGGGCGCGGGGAGGCAGCCATAGGAACCGGAAAAACCGCGCGCGGTGCTCAGTGCTGGAAAGGAGAGAGCTTGGAGGGTTTCTTCCTCCCATTTTTCAGAGACGCTGAGAGGACCACCCCCCGTCAAGTTGCTCCCTTGTGGCCTCGAGGAAAGGCAAGACTGGCCCTCTCATGTGCAAAGTGCTGAAGGTGGCTTTCGGGTCTCTTCAGCTGCTCACAAGCCATTATTGGTCATCACCTGTGGAAATCGCTCAGGGCTGGCCCTGCCGCGCATCTGGGTGGACGGTCCTGCTTCAGGAGGGGGAACATGGAGGGGGATGCTGGAGGAGGAAGCAGGCGCCGGCAGGGCTTGGAGTCTGAATGGGGCAGCGGCCCTTATTCTTCAGCATCCTTCCTAGAGCAGGGGGGTGAAAGCTCTTTCAGCCCATGAGCGGGACTCCTTTCAGACAAGCTCCTGGGGGCCACATTCCAGGTGGGTGGGACCAAAGGCAAAAGGCATGTGGCCTAAACCCCATCATAACTTAGCTTCAAGCTTCTCTGTTTACTAAGCCTAATAGGGGAGGCATTTCAACGTTTCTAGAAGAGAGGGAAGAAAAAACAGCAGAAAAATGGAGGAACCACCTCCAAACATTGGTGGTCAGAGAAACAGGTGGGGACAGGTAGGGGGCTGCACAGAAGCGGCTTGGTCCTGGGGTCCTGAGAATCCACACACCTGCCAGAAAGGTTAACTAGTTGAGCTCCATGAAGCAAATCACTTCAGGAGTGGTACAAGAGGAAGTCAAGTTTCTAGCAATATGTCACCCAGTCTGGATGGGCGAGTCCTTTGTCTGCCTGAGAATACCAGCCCTGCTGGAGCAAAAGAAAGGCGCATCCGCCCAGCACCCATTGGCCGGGCAGGGACGCCCCAGCAGAGGACAAGCAACACCCACTTCATGCAGGCCGTCGTTCTGCACCCAGCCCAGCTTTGGCGAGCTCACAGGTAGGGCTTGGAGGCAAGACCTGCTCCCCAGGAAACTGCCTTCCCCTAGGGGCTCACTCCTGGGAGGTTCCATGTAGCTCACTGCCATTAACCAACCTGCTCCGGCTCCCGAGTTTGTCACGGAGCCCACTGGGCCATCACCACCTTGGGACAGGTTGTGGGTTGTGCGAAAGTTCTCCCCTGGTGCTGTCCTCAATCTACTGCTAATCCACAACTGTCAAACTTTTCCAGCCTGAGGACCAAATTCAGCTTCAGAGAAGCTTTGGGGTACTCGCTCCACTGATGGGTGGGACCAAAAGAGATGAATCAGTCTATATCTTTATTAAATTTATATGCAGTCTTTTCCTCTTCCAAATAACTCAAGGCAGCTTACATAATTCTCTGCTTCTTCTCCGTCTTCTCCCCACAACAACAACAACCCTGTGTGGTAGGCTGAGCTGAGAGTCTGTGACAGGCCAAAGTCACATCAGTGAGATCATCTGAGTCCCAGCCCTCTTAACCTCTGCACCACGCTGGTCCTCGATAACGGGCTCTCTTTCACTGGATAACTCCAGGTTCTAATACCAAAGTGGCAGCTGGGGTGCCTGTTCCACCTCCTATTTCCAAGGCTGGCCTGGGGACGTCATCCCAGGGAACACGTCATTCCAGCTGGATGTCAGTTACAGCTGCACCCTGTTCTGGCTTTAGCCTGGCCTTGCCCTGGGTTAGTATCAGCACCTCCATCCCATCCTTGATGGGGAGGGAGGGAGGGGGGTAGTGGGGGGGGGGAGAGAGAGAGAGAGAAGCAGGACAGGCCCTGAAAGGTAAACAGCTGCACTTTGCCTGCATGGTCAGCCTTAATCTCTAGGAAAAACCAACCACCAAGGATCAGCCCCCAGTTCCAAGATGTGCCTGCGTAGCACAGTGGGAAAAGGGCAGCATGGGACAATAATGGATAGCAAAAGATTGATTAAAATCAAAGACAAGGAGCTGAAGCATTAGGATGACTGTGCTCCCTTCCCCCCTCTCCCCGCATCTCTTCCACCATTTCTAACCACCCAAGCTGAGCCCTGATGTTTCTGGGACCGTCCTTCAGCAATGGCCTGCTCTAGGGGAGGGGGCCTCTTCCAGCCAAAGGCTGGAGTTCCTTCTTGGCTAACCCTCTGGGGGGCACACGCCAAAGGATCATGGGCCCATCCTCTCTGCCTCTTGCTCATTCACTCACACACAGCGTGGCTCTAACTGCTTGGGTGGCAGAGGGTCCAGGGAGGGAGGGCAGGCCGGAGGGAGCACCCGTGGGCCGCATCCGGCCCCGAGGCTGGAGGTTCCACACCCTTGGTGCTCCAAGCCCCTTTCAGCACCACAGCTGCAAACAGTGTGGAGCTCATTCAGCAGGCGAGAACTGCTGTGACTGGCACTGCCACATCTTAAGAGTCCCAGATCCTGAGACTCACAGGGGTTAAATCCTGATACACCGAATGAGCACAGTCCTGGGATACAGTCCAACAGCAACCTATCTAGAAAAATTCAGGGATGGGGAACAAGAGCCAGTGTGGAGCGCGCTTAGAGTGCTGACTGGGATGCAGGAGAGCCAGGTTCTTGTCTCCACCAGTCATCAAGCTCACCGGGCGATGTTGGGCCAGTGACTATCCTACCTCACAGGGGTGTTTTGAGGATAACAATGGAGAAAAGGACTGTGTGTGCACACTTGGTCTCCTTGGAAGAGATAAAAAGGTTGGATGTAAATAGAAGGAAAAGAACTGTGGCTTTCTTGTGGAGGACTGCAATTCTCATCATCCCCCCAACAGCTTATGCAAGCTAAGGCTGATGGGATTTGCAGGCCACAAAATACCTGGCAGGCCACGCACATGTTCCTCACGCCTGGTGTAATTCATCTGGGAAAGAAGGTGAGCCCAGATTTTGTTGCCCCTCTGCTCCCTTCTTTCTGCACATCTAGCATTTTCCGCTCCTGGAAGCACAATCCTGGTTGCAGGAGAGCCCCAAGAAAGAAGTGGATGAGCAAAACGGCACCCGTGCCAAGTTCTCTTCCTTCGTGATTCATTTGTTGGCCTTACGCCTGGGCGTCTAGAGCGAATTCGGGTACATACTGTTGTTGGCAGAGGCGTCTTAGAAATGCAGCTTCTTGGGTGGGGGGCGGGGGCATGTCTCCTCGTCTGCGGAGGACAGTCCTCTGCTCTGAAGAGCTGCCCAGCCCAACAGTGGTTGGAAGATAAGCGACCCTAAAAGGGGAGTGTGTAAGCCTGGTGTTGCCCATACAGATCTGGTGGCACATCCATAAGGGGCACGCGGACCCTCAGGCTGGGCTGGTCCAAGTCCTTCCAGTGCTGAGATCCAGCTGGACTCACAGCTCCTGCACCAGTGATGGGTCAGCATCCTTCGCCACAGCCAAGGGCAGGATGCTGAGGTGAGCCTTTGGACATGCAGGGAGGGGCAAGCAGAGGAGGCTTGGGGGGCGCAGGGTGGGGGGCTGCCCTCTGTGCCCCTCGCCTTTGCTACCCTGCCTAACGATCGGGCCGGCTCCATGCCACATCACAGCCTGCTTTGCTGCAGCAAAACAGCTGCCTCTCCACGGAAATAATCGCCATTCCTTCTAAATATTCATTCACACCCCAGAATTAGCTTATGGAAATGTGATGCAAATCAACCACCCAGAGATTTCTCTGCATGTGAATCAGGCAGAAGCCGCTTCCACAGACCCCACGATTTAACTTCAGTGGAAGAGACGCGAAAGCTGAAGTTCAATCACTTTAGAAACTCAGAGGAACGCAGGGCTGCACAGTCCGTGCCATGCAGTTCTTGTGGTCCCTCGCAAGGATTGGCTCACCAGGCCTAGCATCTGTAGCAGACGTCAGCTCTGCCACCAAAACACACCAGGGATGCTGAACCTCTCTCAACCGGATGGCCAATTCCATGTCAAAGCTCTTGGGGGCCGAATTGCAGGCCAGGTGGGACTGAAACCAAAAGTGGGCAGGGAGAAAGTGAGGGGTTTGTGCAGCTTCAAGCTCACACTGGTCTAAGGCTCGGCCAAGCCTCAGAAGAGGCATTTCAGCCTTGTAGAAGTGTGTGTGTATTGAATGAATGAAAGCAGGAAACCACCAAACAATCAGGTTGTGGGAAACGGGGCAGGGCTGGTCCATTGCAGGAGCCCAGACTGGAACTCCGTGTGGCCTCCAGGCCTGGTTCTCCTTGCACCCTTGCACTAGAAAATGATGCCTGGAAGCTGATTGTGCACAACTAAGGGACGGCTGGTTTGCCGAGCAGGAGAGGCGGAGAAACTGCTGCTGCTGCTGCTGCTGCCACGGCTTGAACAGACACCAGGATAGTAATCCAGTGATCTGACACATCAGCATCGGAGATAAGGTACCATGCAACCTGTTCCAACATAAGCCAGAGGAGAATTGGTTCCACTTTATGGGTCCCCAGCATGGGAGAAACGTAGCAGCACAGAAAATTAGAGTTGGCAGGGCAGGGGGCACCACGAAGGTCATCTGTTCTAACCTATTGCTCCATGTGGGATGCAGCTCTGCCCTCATTCCTGGTGAGGCTTCAGCCTCTGCTCAGCTCCCCCAGCACCTTGAGGCCACCACCTCCCAAGGCAGCCTGGTCCCCTCCAGAAATGTTGGGGCATTTCTCACACTGTTCACCCCAACATCTGCTTTCCTGCAGCTTCCACCCACTCATTCCAGCC